CGTGGCGTTATTAACAGCGGAAAAACTATCTGGCACAGCAGAAGCTCCCATAATCTTGGATTTCAAGCTTGATTTGTGGCTTGGTTTAAGAACATTCACCTGATTCGCCAAAAAACAGAATTAATAGCCAAGTTTTAAACCAAATCAGGAAAAAACGTATTTATCGGTACTTTGTTGTTGTAATGTCCGTTGTATCCACCAAAAGCAACAACTATGTCTTCGCCATTGTATGAGCTCACAACTAAACTCAATCCCTGTCATCAAAGGAACAGTTGCAGCTCAATTCTCAAATATTGAAGAGCAAATCACAAGACTGATTTTATATAATGTCTTGGAAAATTCAAGTTTCATGTATCAGGATGGGGCAGTGTTTTAAATACCTCACTAGCGAGAGGTACATGTCCTTGGACTGAAGTGACTACTGACCACGCAAGAGTTGACATATTTAATACAACAGTCTTAGATGCCCCTGCGGTAAAGTACCAGGAAGTATCACAATTAATCACACTGTACAAAAAAAAAAAACGAAGCAACTATCAAGTTTTTTACCCAGGAAAAGTTCCAGTGATGTAACATAAAGAGCAACACATGCAGGTATCAAAACGCAGGGAATAGCAGAAACATACCGGTTTTGTTATCTCCACCACCAACAATATACCAATTTTCACCAATTGTCACACCGGCGTGTCCAGCACGTGGAGTTGGTGCTTCACCTTGTTGTGTATGTCTTGACCACTCCATCTATAAAACGGAACAGAATCTGTCAAGAAACCGACAAAGTACGTTGCTAAAACAAAAGAAGCTTGCTTGCATACAGTTTGCAGATCGAGGACATGCAGATCATCAAAACAAGTTGTATGTGATCCTCCACCAAAGATTAGAAGGTAACGCTCAGCATGCACTGCAGCAGCATGATCAGACCTTGGAGTTGGAGGAGAACCCCTGCAAGTTGACAGCGCTTTAACCTTCAACTGCTGATCTTTTATTGACAACTAAGATATGAATGTAGATAGTTGGCAGCTTTATAAAATTTCCATCGTTTGCTGGATATATAAACTAGTCTTCAAACAGACCTGAGTTATTCAAGTGAGAATAAAATGCAGTAACATCATAAGATCTTACACGACATCCATCTCATCCCAGGTCATGGTATCTAGATGAAGTATATGCAAATCGTTTAGGAGCGATTTCTTTCCATCCTGGCCACCAAATATCACCAAGCTTTTTCCCACAAGGGTCGCTGACTGACCTCCACGGGAAATCTGCATGGGAGAGAGTGATAAAAGTTGTATCAATTTAAGCAGCTATACTACATGCTCAATTTCCAATATCAGAAAGGAGATCAAGAAATTGCATTCAGAATGCAACTTAACACCTGAATATATGACGAAGGACGAAAGAGAGTAACTTCATTTTTTTCTTCCAGATGTTCAAAATTTTTTACTACTAGATTGGAATATTTCCCATATAAGGATTAGAAAAATTGGGAGAAAAGAAGATTTTACCGGTGGCTTCCCGTGTGTCTTTAAGATTGACCATGAACAGCTAAGCAGATCAAATTCCTTCACTGTGATGAGAAAACAAAAGAAAACTGATATACAAGAATTGCTATGCTCCAGAGAATAATAACTTACCTCCAATTAACAATTTCAAAAGTGTTTTTACTCTTACCTATCATGAATTCTGAGGGATCCTTTGTATGACCACCGACAGACAAAAGCTTGCTTTCCCATGGTATCTACATAACAAACAAAGAAGGCCAGCATGAGGAATTCATGAGGAGATTACTGTACTTTGCCCCCAAACCTGCCCATGATATTTCAAGGCTAGAATACCAAAGAAAGAAAAACCGAAACAAAACGCAAGTTAAAATACTAACCAAAGAATGACCAGCACAGTGAGTTAGTTTTGCTGGAGATGAAGTTTCCTGTGATTCAGTCACAACCTTGGTTTCAACTCTTGACCAAGTCCAGTTTTTTAAATCTAGAACCTGTATTTGAAACACCATTCACAGAAGACATGCTTCCGAATTGTCAGCAGACGTGTCACAGTAAATAATAGGAGAAGGTTCTCGAGGGTAGGCAAAACTGAAACCAAATATTCGATTTGATCAGTTGATCCTATCATAGAATGAGATATGTTGCTTACATGAAGATCACCTAAATAACGCCCATTGTGGTTTCCACCATACACATACATCTTATCTTGAATAACCGCTGCTCCATGCTGCAATGAATATAGTAAGAAAGAATTAAAAAAGAGAGAAGATTCACGGAAATATCGGTTTCTTTCATGTTCCACAATATAGTGAAATCAAATATTACCTCATACCGAGCTTTTGGTGGCTGACCTGGTGTTCGTGGTGCAGTCCACTTATTATACACAGAAACAGTATTTGGGTCTTCCAAAACTACATCTTTATCTTGCGTTACCGTCAAGCGCTCATCCTCGGTAGAAATCGTCTTTGTCTCACCAAATGAAGCTCCACTCTCAAAACTAGGCTCGGCCTTTGTGCTCTACGACAGAGAATCAATTTAGTAAATGACTACGAGACTTATCTTTTGCAACAGGAAAGAAAAGTCTAAACCGAGACATAGAATGCTGGTATATACAAGGATCAAACAGTTCAGACGAGGCATTGATATTTTGGTAGCAATACATACACACACTGGATCCTATGTATAGGTGATGAAAGTGCTTAATTTGGGATCCAAAACTCACATTGATTTGGACATCTACAGCAGGCTCTAGAACAGAGTTAGATGCCCTTGGATACCAGCCAGGATCTTCTTTCTTTTTAAACGTGAGCAATAGGGAGAAGTTAGCCTATGATCAACAAATTAAGAGAAATGAGAATAAACTCCTCTGTTGATTACCTCTAAAATTTTCACAAAGAGACGCATTGCTTCAATGGAGAGCATGGTTCCAAGCCCCTGCCAACTAGTAAACATGTACTTCTATTAGGAAGTTCACAAGGACAAACGTTCTATGCTCATTGTTCATAGATAATATCCAAAGGAAATGAGGTCTGCAATGTAGATCTCTCTTTGCATAATGGCATTCTCTAAGATGATACATGTCTCCGGCAATTTGCATGCATGCTAAAATTAAGGTACTCTCTAACATCTTACATCTACAATACTTGTTCCTCTAGCCCTAATTCATGAGACATCTTGATCTTTGTACTCAGAAGCTACTCAAACAATTGATGAAACTAAAGAAAGCCTCACCAAATGCAGAATAGCAGAGTTATTATTGATAGACACAAAAGTAAAAACTAACCTTTTCCATTTGCTTTGCTCTACTGGATTCCACGCACTAGGTTTTGGAATATTGCAAGGTCCTAGAGTAGCCTGTTAACATGTCAAGGGAAAAAAAATCAAAATAGTAAGCATCTTTATCTCAAGGATATGATGATGAATAAATCAAGTCAGCAAATCAATTAGGTAAAAACGAAAATTCTCTCTCTGTGACAAAAGAAACCAGTTATCATCATCATAAAATAGCCCACCACAATTCTCATCTTGGCTAAGAAGAACCAACAATATCATGACTCTGAGGTTCATAGCAATGAAGATAATGTGGAATCAGCATTGTCTAATCTACAGAGATTAGTACCAACATTCATATATATTGTAGCAAATTGCGAAAGTAGGGAAAGCAACATCACACGAGATCTCTGTGGAAATCGAATTGACGAACCTGCTGGTGCAACGCGTAGAGAAGCAAAGAGGTATCGTTGGAGAATTTGGAGCTGAGTTGTTTCACCGACGATTGAGATCCGTCGAGGCCAACGTACGATGCGGCGGCGTAGAATCTCTCCGGGTAAGCAAGGCCAGAGCTCGCTCTCACCATGTGAGCCATTTTGATCGGAGATTTGAGGAAGAAGCCAAAGGAGGAAGCAAAGTTTCAAGTTTTCGGATTAATACTAATTTATTTTTCAGTTAATTGAATTACAAAAACTTGATGCAGCGTTTATATAGCGGCACGACAAGTTTCTATTTGCATGCAACAAATTCCAAAATCCAATTTTTAATGTTTTTGGCACAAACTTCACAAGTCAACAACAATAAATTGTAAGAGTTATTATGTACAAAGACAATACTCCCTCCGTTTCGTTTTAGTTGTCGTTTAAGGTTTTCTCACACAAATTAAGAAAAACATTAAATTTATGTTTTACCCTTTATTAATATATTTTATAAATAATGCGAGCTGTCGCATCAACATAAAATATAATTTTACCAAAAAAAAAATATATATATATATATATTTTATAAAAAAATTCATTGGCCGAAACATTAAAACAGTAGGGATAAAACTAGAATTTTCACCAAACATTTGCATCGAAAACCTAAAACGACAACTATTATGAAACAAAATTTTAACTCTAAAACGACAAGTAAAGCGAAACGGAAGGAGTACTAATTAGCTGAGAAACATTTGTTATTTTTTGACTGATAAATTATATCTTCACAAATCACAAGTTTCATTCACAAATCACAATCCAAAATCCATTTACGATGGTTTTTGATGATTTAATAAAGAAAATGAGAGTTTTTCTTGATTTCCTTGTTACGGTTAGAACTCGAGAGTTCTCAACGGAATAAGAAGACTTGGATTCTCGGATTTCGAAGACTAAACGAGTTCCTCCTCGTGTTTATCGTAGTTTCAATTACAATTGTCTCTGTGGGCATGTTCGTTTATTAATCACTGCGACAGCGATAACAACTCCAACGAAGGCAAAAAATATAACGGAGATAAAAAAACAGTCGTTCAATATGTCGCTGTTATTAGCATCTAGCGACTCCTCTCCACACTACTCTCTACAGACTCCACGTAATTGTGTTAAGCAACTGTTTTTTTTTGGTCGCTGGATCTAATCGCAGCGTTTGGAAAAAGAACATGGCCGTGTAAGAACAGATCGTGGTAGTAACTATCAAAATTTTGGGAAAACTTTTGATGTTGTTGAACATTATCGCAAAACAAACCATTTGGCAAGATTGTTGTGTACATCGAAACTTAAATTAAATGGTAGTTTTGTTATAGGTTCATTGACATCTTCGGAATAAACAAACTTATGGCCAATATTGTTAACATAAATCTGCTCAAACTTACTAGTAAGAACAACAACAGGAAAAAAAACTATAAAGAGGATTTTCTCATTCAATAAGATTAAAACTAACCAAAGTGCCAAGGAAGAATTGCTAATGGCAGAACAAGAAACTCAACCTATCGGTGCCCCGTTTGGTGTATCATTGGAGCTCCTATGGGACTTGTGCTTCGATCTCTTCTCCCGTTTCTTACTCCTGAGGAAAATAAATAGAGAAGGGAGTCAACTGAAGAAGCAAAAACTATATATATAAATATATATATATATATATAGTGGTTAGAAGAATTAATAGAAGAGAGGTTAATGTACTCGTCATGTGAAGAACTATGTCCTAGACAAGATTTTAGCTTCCGGTTGATATGCTTCATGTCCTTTTCACTTGGTTTCTTGTAGTTCTTTACCTGCAAAAAGAGAGAGCATCTAGTAAAACTGCCTTTTAGATATGAAAGTTTCATTATCATGAGAAAATATGAAAGTTAGTGCATAATACCAAAAATTCGATGTCATCAAGGAACTTTGTGAGCTCTGAAGTTGTGTGCTCAGAGTTTGGTTGAGAAACAATGTTCTCTAGGTACCTACACCAAATGCAGTTTAGTTGAAATTACAACCAGTAAAAGCTTGCATATACAGAAATTCGAGGCCAAGAATTAAATATCATGGAAAGATAAAAAGGGTAATATCGGGACGGGATGGATATAGAAGAAGAGAAATAACCTATCAAAGTCAATCACTCCAAGAACCCCATTTGCAATACGTAAAGACGCCAATGCCAACTGCAAGGGCACACGTCTAACAATTGAGAAACAAAACAACACTTTGTGATACTTCTTCTGTTACATATACGGTAAAGAAGGAACATGGTGAGTATATATCGATATACTAAACTACTATATCATAAACATTTATTGATTTCACCTATATATCTGTCAAAGAGAAAACAAAGCACCAACTTTCGTCCTAGATTTATGTCTTGAGTAGCATATTTGAAGCTTTACTGAAATATCCCAAACAATAAGTTTAACCAGATTCTTTGATGGATTTAATTTTATTCAGTATCTTTAATCTGATAATAAGAACCTAGGGAGACAAAAGAAACTATCATGCCACCTGGCCAGGAGGAAAGAGGAGTGGAGCATCTGTGAGCATAACTTTATCGGCTTCTGCTGTCGCCGCTTTGAGTAAACTCTGCAGAATACTTGAAATGTTATGCCAGTATGAGAAAATAATACTTCAATAAGGCCCGTTAAATAAAACGACTTGCAGTTATGATCCCAAATTCAGTTACCACATGTTTAAAAACTTTGTAACAGTTAAGGGAAATATATGAAGAGAGAGATTACCTCCAGTTTCTGGATTTGATCATCTCTAGCTTGAAGAAATTCCTAGAAGATGATAAGATGATGTCACTTTTAGCGAAAGCATGAAGTTTAACAAGAATGAAAAATTACACACACCGAATAACAAGTATCAACAGGCTTAAATTTCCTATTATGGTTCACCAACTTCTTCCCTTGAAGATAACACTCAGAATTTTTCTTGGAACAAAATGATTTCCTATCAACTCAATCAGAGTCTCGTGATGACATAAGAAAACCTACAAAATACTAGACAGGCCAGATTTACCTCCATATTGTTGACAAAACCTTCAATTGCACGATACGGTGCATAAACAATCAGATCAAATTCCAAACTCTGCACATAAAGTTAATATAATATGAACAAAAGAATAGAGAGAGAAAAGAACACCGGGGATAAATAAACTTACGGAAGTTGCTACAAATTAATTGACTCATATGATACCTGAAGAACAGCCATCTCATACTTGAGAATGATCTGGTGATCTTGGTTAATCCCTTTCCCAATTTCCTCAGCAGATACATGATTCTCCTCTATTTTACAAGCTGCATACACACAGGTTAACCTGTTCAATGAAAGGTAACAATTAGTCCAAATTATAACAACGGACCATTTTGACTGCCTTAAAAAGCCTCTCAGAAATACAAAATTCTTAGATCAATTTGATAAACAATTTCAAAACTATTCTCTTATGAAAAAGCAAAGCCTTTGACCATTTTGAGGATTTAGAAGAACTATACATTATCTCTTTTGGATGATGTTGCATAACAGACCATTGCAGATAAAATCTCTTAAAGTATTGGAGGGCTGTTGCCTGCAAAAGATTACAAGGAAAAACATGAATTCAGAGAGCTAACAAAATCAGGTATTTTATTTTTAACTTGATCATAAACTTGTATCTTGACGAGGAGAAATGCACCTGAATCTTGTGAGGAAATGCAAAGGCACTACACACTTCTTGGACCTTAGCCTCATAAAATGCTCTCATGAACCGTTCTTCATCAACACTCAAAGGCTTAAGCTTCTTATCAGCTGAGAATAACACAGCAAAAAGTAACATTATTTAAACTTGGACAAACAAAACTATAATGATACGTATGGAAACGGACCAATAATAAAAAGTTTACCTGGATCTGCTGCATCAACTTTATCTTTAGGATATGTTAGTGATCCACTGGCATCTACTTCAACTTGGGTTGTTCCACACTATGAATGAGAATAAGTTAAAAATCTATCATGAATAGAGACTAAAGTTGAATATCAGCACACTCTTAGCACACCTTCTCCAGCATTTGCACTGCCCTCTTGTTAGCAGCTTTATATTTGTCTGCCTACAATGACAACATTACAGCTTAGTTGCAATACCAATATCTCTACACAACAAGTAAGATAATATCAATAAACACGCATAATTAAGCAACGAAGAGTTCGAAATGCTCGGTTAATAGGACTCTCTTGCGTCACACAAGACGAAAACCAAAGAAGCCCATCAAAGTATTTTCCTTTGTAAAATACAAACACACATACACACACTAAGGTAATCTATATGATACAATCAAAGCAAAGAAAATCCTTAAGATGAACAAAATCAAACATGTATAAAGCCTCAGAAATTGAGATTACCAGTTTCTGGGGAGTGAAAATCCACTTGGCCCGTTGTGTTGATGTCTGAAAATCCGCCATTTACTCAGTCCCGCACGAGTTTTCGAAATCGAAAAATCAAATTTTGCTCAGTTTCAGTCGGCTGCGACGGAGACTTTTGATCAAATACACACGTTGTTGATGGCGATTCTCCGTCTGAATCGGATGGAGATTTACAGTGGTTGAATTATAGAGGGTTCCCAGATATTTCAATTTCGTATTTTAGGGCTTATGTTAGAATTTAGGAGACGAATCTAAAAGCACCAGGTTTTGCAGAGTCGATTCGAATGGAGATTGGATTGAGTTAGCTACGAGAAGAAGAGGTTTCGGTGATGAGAAGACGAGCGCGGGGTAGAAGAGGAGAGCAGACGCAATATCTTGTCGGAATTCAGATGTGAAGACGAGTACGAGCACGGCGGAGAAACGGTGTTAATAATGTCGGAACTTGCTCATACGGCGAGATCGTTCCTGGCTTCGGGCTTGCGAAGAAGAAGAAACATTTCGAAACATGTTTAACAATAAACCCTATGGTCAAACGGTGTCGTTAGCAAACATAACTATTTTAACGATGTCGTTTAGTCAACCGTTAAAACCCTTGTTAACAAAAAAAACAGGAATTTTCAAACAACTAAAAACAGTGCTAGGGCTTAAAGTTATGTTTCCAACCCTTATTATAACATCCCTACTTATGTCCAACTTCTAGGGTTTATGTATTATTATAGAATCTAAATAAAATTAATCAATGTTATTTAAAGTTTGCCTCACGGTTTTAGTTAGACTTGGACATTCTGCTTTACGGATCGGTTTGGGTCGAAAGGTTTAGGATTCGTTTAAGAACCGAAATGTTTTTGGTTTGCATCAGGTCTATTCGGGTTTGGATCGGTTTTCAAATTTCATTGAAACCCGACATAATACTGAATTATAATTTGGTTTGGTGTTTTGGATCCGAACTACACGGAAAAACTTGTATTACTCGAAAACCCCGAAAAAAATCATGTGTATGTATTGTTTATTGGTTATGGGTATTTGTTCAGGTTTCAGATTTTTTGAGTATCCGTTCAGGTTTTGGATCCTACCTGAAAAAAATAATTTAGGATCCGTTCGGTAATATTGGCTACCCGAAACCAAATCGAACATGGGTTTACGTGTTGTCCGGGTTTTCGAGTTTTCGGTTTTGGACTTTATTATGCCCAGGCCAACTTTTAGTAGTCTCTCAAGTCTCAAACGTATTTAATTTCTGTGTAAGTTCCAATTGGCATTGTTCTACTTAAGGAATAGTGAATATTTGAGATTTTTTTAAAGGTCTATACATGTTGGGAATAATGACCCAAGAAAAGAATCATAACGATTTTTCGAAACTGAGAAAGAATATTATAAAAAAGCAGCTCCAAAGTTACAGAATCAATGGGTAACTAACTATCAAGAGCCTTTGAAGCTGTTCAAATTATTAACTACCTATAAACTAAACTAACCTCTACAATTCAAACAATTAAATCTGATATCCAGGTGTTAATCTTCGATATCAGGTTAATTATAAAGGACACAAATGTTTCATGTTTCATGTTCTTACAAGAGCCATGATTTGAGTCTTGATCAGTCCCATATAAGTCTGAATTTCTCTGTATATCGGCATGTTCTGTGGACACCGTGGCTGCAAGTCACTCACTGCTGTATCCATTAGCTGAGCCACATCTTCTGGTGGGTACTGCTTCTGTGAGATCATCTGCAGGTACATAACACAGAAAGAGTTCAAATCAAAAACCGCAACAGCAGGTAATTTCGATCTCAGTCAAGCGATATTATTTCCTTTACCTGCATCATGAGCCAAGAGGCAACACAAGAGGTGATAAGCTCTGAAGGCATTTGCGTTTTGTTTTTCCCTGATCCGTCCTGTGAGATGAAACCGTTAGTCATTGGCTCTGCTGTGTTTGAAGGATAATGATCCAAGCTGCCATTGGTATGCTCTTGATGCTTGATACCAGGCACTATAGAGCTGTATAATGGTTGATGTTCGCCAATTGAGCTAGCTTGGTGGACCATATTCCCTGAGTCTTCATTGTTCTTCCCCGACGATGCAGCCTAAAACCATACATTGACAACAATTTAAACCAAGAGATATTAGAGTCGTATGACTTTGGCTTCTCTGTATTTAGAAGACTCTGAAGTCTCTAGACATATTATAACTACCTTCATAGCTGCATCCACCATTGCTTGCGCTATTGACTTTGATTCACTGGCAATTTCAATCATTTCTGGCTCCATTTCCTGGAAAGCAGAATTATGACAGGAGAATTCCTGTAGCTGTTACTATTAGCAATCCAGAAATTATTCGGCAAAAAAAAAGTACACAAAATAAGTCTATACTTTGAACATGAGCAATCTGAAGACAGTTTCCTCAGGCATAGTAGTTTCATTAACTTAAGCTTATTTTAGTTACCTACTATACGCACAACTAAGGCATACAGATTCACTACCTGCGCATCTGAAGTATGCTGCGGTGTCAGAGTCCGTTGAATTTCTGGTCCTCTTACTTTGCTATTGGTTGCGATAGATTGATCAGTAGTGTTGGTTGCTAACACTTTACTGTGCAAAACTGGCTCTCTAATATCATCCTGAAGAGAATTATGGAATTATGCACAGAGTTTACCAAATATGTACAGAAAGAAAGACGAAGATCAAAGCTTTGACACACGAGTCAGCCGTCCATCTTTGTTTACCTGTTTCGCAGGATGATTCATGGAAAATTTGACATTTTCGAGCACAGAAGGAGAGAACAGAAGAGATGCATCAGAGCTTGGGTGTCTGTTAAGCTGTGCTTCTTTGCCTATAGCTACACACTTATCAGTTTTCCTCCTTAGCCCCTCTGGCATGTATTCCAATGGATTTAAAGGCATGCAGTCAATATCCTGTCAAAAAAGGGATTTATTAGATCATCTGAGATATACAATAAGTGGACAAACTATCTACAAATCACAAAGGAGTTAAGCGTTTCAACGGAATTTGTATAGTTTGAGATTTACCATAACTAACTCAACACCCAATTCATCAAACAAAACGTTGCACTTGTTATGATCCACAGTAAGAATCTTGCCATCACGAATTTCCCGTGTTTTAGGATAGATGGCAATGACTCTATTCCCGACTGATAAAGGATGGGCCAAATCTGTATGAAGCACTCCCGTAGCACATCCACGGAGCTCTGTATAATGCTTTCTCACAGATTCACGATATTGTTGGAGTTTATCCCGCTCATCATGTAGGAACCTCTCAGACAACCTCCGAGGTCTACCGAGAGAACTGAAAAATTATAGAATTTGAGTAACCTTTTTGAATCTTTATATTTCCATCGACATACACAAGAACTTTAACATACCTTTTAATGACACTCCATTCAACACGAGTAAGTCTTGGAGCGTGACCAAGCCCCACATGATTTAGATAATCAGTGAACTCCATCTTTGCAAACCAGGGATAGTCAATAGCACTGTAGAACCATTCATATATGCACCATCGACGTACCAATGGATATGACAGACAATTTGAAAACTTCTCCTGTAAATGGAATAAGCAAATAAGAGACCAGATTTTTTGGATTTGTATAACAAAAATGAAGTTAGAGACTCTACCTTTAGTAATTCATGTTCTGAAAGACTTTTGCGACTACGTAGCTTGTCATGAGTGGTTTCTAAAGATTTAGCTCTTTCCTGTAAACTTTTCTTCAAACTCATCTTACGCCTGTTTGGAGGTTTCTGTGGCAAAGTCGCTGGACCCAAAGCTGAAACTTGTGTAGCTGGCACTATTGCATCCGGTATAGTTAATTTCTTATCACTAGCTAAAGAAGATTCTTCCGAGGTCTTTGCAGTTTTCAGCTGTTTTGCGGGACCTTGACCAGAACGTCTTGCTTTGACTAGAGTCTTCAAATTATCATCTTCAGCCGATTCCTGCAATGCAGTAAACAAAAATCATGAGAGAAAGCACTAACAAAAATTACTAAAGCATAAGCTTCTTTGATCGAAAGAATTTGTCAAGGATTCAACCGCAGATCACAGAGTACGATTAAATCCAAGCCAAAAGAAATAAGCAAATAGGAGAGAAGCGGGTTTTTCATATCTATAGATTTGAAAAATACCTTAGTATATAGAAATTTTTCCTGAATAGACTCTTTTGGAGCTTCAACATCTAACACCTGAAACTGAATGTAATTTGCATATAGCTAAGTGGTGCACAGAGGAACGACAAGATAACAAAGAAATCAAAGAGAAAAACTGTCTTGTAAACCAAACCTTTGGTTTACGTTTTCTTCTTGAAGTGCCAAGCTCTTCGACAGAAACAACATTACCATCAACGGATTCCGGCACAGACTTCGGTTTTCTTTTATCGGGGGCTGAAATTGCAAGTAGGAGACTAGCTTCTGGTCCTGCTTCTTTTGCTTTTTCTCTGTGATGGCTTGTGGACACGGTTTCCAGAGTCTTAGATTTCTCATCCACGTTGTTAGCTATTCTTTCTTCTTCCCACAGTGGAGATAATTCTGGATCCAACACAATAAAATAGAAAATATAAAGAGATGTACCTTGATGGATGTGAAAGGTGAACAGATATTTATTAATGGGTCTCTTCTTTTAACCCGCACAATATACATCCTTAGTGGCACAACCCCAGAATATAAAACCATTCGATGCTAACCTGATTCCATCAAAGCAGCCGGAGCCAGTGAAGCTGACATTTCAGCCAATGCCTTCAGAGCTCCTAATCCATCATCATCATCATCAGAATCATTTCCTTCTGCTTCTTCAATTCTCACATTTTTTCCCTTCTTGGTAACAAGTCCTTCCATATCCCTCAACAAGGCACCATCTCTATCAGCAGCTCCCTTTTTATGCCTCCTATCTCGGCTTGTTCTCACCCCATTCTCAAACATGGAACTATCAGGGTGCTTGAATTGAGCTTCCTGTGCTTGTAACTGGCAAAGAAAAAAAGTAGAAATTGTTTTTCCACTGAATCAATCATGACAACAATGAAAAGAAATGATAATAACCTTAAATTGCTAGAATTATCAAAATACCATTTTTCGAAGCCTAGTTTGTGTGCTGTCACTGAGTTCTGTTCTTCTATATGGAGACCCTCCTCCCCTTCTTGATGCATCATCATCGGCATCAAGTTGCTTCTTGGCTCTTTTATTTGGTGGACTAGAATCTGCTCTATCATCCCTCTCGTGTGTAATTGCTACAAGAAACCGAGGTGTACGTTTCCCAGTGGCACGTCGCCTTTTTTCTACATAAATAAAGTAGCAAATTACACGATCTTGAACATATTCATTTACATAATTTTGTTAGGCTGACACAGAATTCCGCGAGACATGGTTACACTATAAATGGTGTGAACTAAAAATGTAAGATAAAAGGCAGCTTGTTGTTCATTTGCTCACCAATATAAACCACAGAGTAATCCTTGGTTTTAGCATCTTTCAAACCATAAATTTTAAGAAAATGATTTGCAGGAAATAATGAATGTACCATAA